CCCCCCGGGGTCTCACCGCCGGTGGCAGCCCCGCTCCGGGCCCTCAGGTATCCCCGCAGTTTGCGGACGGCCCGGTCCCGGGTTTTCTTGTCATTGGCGGCCAGTCTCTGGGCGAGCTGGATGGCGAGGTCCGGCGGAGACATTGCGATCGCTGAGTCTGAGCCCACGTGCTGCTCACTGTGTGGGCGGCGCCGCCTGATGACGTCACTGGCCGCTCTGCGTTCCACGGCCCCATTTCCGGGGTCTGTTTGCGTTCCAGGCATCTTACTTCCGGTCTGAGAGAACTGAGCTCCACATACTGCCTGTCACAGAGCTCCACAAGGTGTGTGTCACAGAGCTCCACATACTGCCTGTCACAGAGCTCCACAAGGTGTGTGTCACAGAGCTCCACATACTGCCTGTCACAGAGCTCCACATACTGCCTGTCACAGAGCTCCACATACTGTGTGTCACAGAGCTCCACATACTGCCTGTCACAGAGCTCCACATACTGCCTGTCACAGAGCTCCACAAGGTGTGTGTCACAGAGCTCCACATACTGCCTGTCACAGAGCTCCACAAGGTGTCTGTCACAGAGCTCCACATACTGCCTGTCACAGAGCTCCACATACTGCCTGTCACAGAGCTCCACAAGGTGTCTGTCACAGAGCTCCACATACTGCCTGTCACAGAGCTCCACAAGGTGTGTGTCACAGAGCTCCACATACTGCCTGTCACAGAGCTCCACATACTGCCTGTCACAGAGCTCCACAAGGTGTCTGTCACAGAGCTCCACATACTGCCTGTCACAGAGCTCCACAAGGTGTGTGTCACAGAGCTCCACATAGAGTCTGTCACAGAGCTCCACATACTGCCTGTCACAGAGCTCCACATACTGCCTGTCACAGAGCTCCACAAGGTGTGTGTCACAGAGCTCCACATAGAGTCTGTCACAGAGCTCCACAAGGTGTTTGTCACAGAGCTCCACATGGTGGCCCTTTCATAAACTAGTTGCAATAAAGGCTGCATCCGATCAGGCCAGAAAATCATCTGGGGAGCACTTGGCACTCTTGTCATACCCCTCCCCCCCCCCACCCCACCCCCCCTTTGGGCACCAGTTGAAAGTTTCAGTTTAGAATTGGTGGTGGCGAGGTGTAAGTGGCGCAATGGAACACTCCAAGCACCATAACCACTATAAATAATAATAACAATAAAGTATGTAACCAGGAAAGGTACATTCAGATTACTCTGGTTTCCAAGTACGTCCTGGGCCCAACATCCAGGGGTTGTTACAAAAATGACCTTAGACTGGCTAATAAACTGAAAAACAAACAAACCTACTCTATGATATATAAATGTCCTGCTGATAATTGTATTTATTTTGGATTCAGGGTTTCTCACATCATTGTTGTCTTTACAGATGTCTGGCTCCTTGGGGGAGGAGTTTGTTTATATCAGAAGGCGGGACTTGGAGCGCTTGACTACTGAAATTATGCAGATGAAAGAATTTCTGCCACAAATCCTAAACCAGGAATTGGTTGATAATGTCCAGAGACTTGAGCAAGCAGAAACTAGTAAGATGCACTCATTACGTAATGTGCCATGTTCTCTGTCTGTCATTTATAATATGAAATATATGCTGTATGCTAAAGGGTGGGCACTTTGATCATGAATTATCATGAAATTATGATGAAAGATGTAACTGTTGTCTATGTCACATATTCATCCACTTATAGAAAAGTGGTTAATGACATTTACTGTCCACACAGGAAAAGTTGTGCCGAGCAGCAACCTAATCCACAGAAGGGTTAATGCTGAGCAGCAATTATGCAAATGAAACCTGGTAACTGACTTTGGGGTCAAAGGCCGGTTACAGCCTATCAGAACTAAAGGAGGGGTATTTAGGCCCAGTTCTCAGCCTGCTCAGTGCCCTGTCGTGGTTTCCCTTGTGGTTGTCTGAGAGCGCGTTCCTGTTTATAGTTTTCTACCTGGTTTTTGACTTTGGCTTTGTTTATTGACTTCTCTATATTCTGGTATCCTGACTCCTGGCTTTCCTCATCGCTGTGTCCCTTTCTGTGTTCCCTGACCTCGGCTAGTATTTTTGACTATTCTATGTACGTTAAATCCGGCCATTCTAAGGACCGGTAATACGTTACTTATTTGTCATCCGTGCTATACAGTTCTACGTGCTGGATCAAACAGTAATCCTGACAGTCTAGCCTGGAAGAAACCCCATTATGTTTTATATATATACACACGTTCACACTGTGCTCTTCCCAAAGGATTGGTGGAAAAGGGCCCTAAACATTAGCCAATCATTCAGCCAGTCAGAATTCAATAGACCAATACACACAGAATGGGACCAAGTAGGAGAGCCCCAGTAAGAGGAATACAGGACAGGCACATGTTACTGGTCCCGGGAGGGCAAGGAGTACTATGGGTGCCAGAATTTAGGATAGTCAGCAAAGAGCCGTCTCAGAACTGTAGAAGCCAAACACAGAGAGATGGACACAGGTATTCAGGAAGTAAGAGGATTTATTCACGTACCGATCGGGTCTCAGATGAACTCCTGTTCCAAAAATATCTGAGCCCTGAACACATGGAGTACATTCATTATATAGCACTCTAGCTCCTCCCATAATTAGCTACGCCCACACATACCCTTAACCTAATCAATGAACAGAGTCTAAACTCATCCATCCGGTCTAACCACGTGGCTCATCTGAAACAAAGGAGAAGGGCGCGTAATTCCAGTTCCTGCATTCCTGCACATGCTCAGTACAGTGATGACAGTATCTTAGCTACGTGTAACTAACTAACTGATACCACAAACACATGTACCTACATACGCCTCATGGCAATCTTGGCCTACTAAACTTTTATTTTACTGGAATTGCATCACGTTCCCCCCTTTGATGCTTCTGATTTAAAATAATTCCAGATGCATCACCAATCATAGTTTGCCAACACATCTCAAGCAGCCATGAACCAGAACAGACCTCGTAAGCATCCTTAGCATATTTTTAGCATTCCCCATCCTGAATATGCTCTCTCTGGGCTAAAGGTTCATATTTACAGACAGCCATTACATGGGCAGCTGTCTTCCTCTCAATAGTGCTGCCTATAACACTTCGTATGGACCTGACCACTAATGGAATTAAGCAGGGCAGAAAGAGACATAGGAATATAATAAATACTACTCCTCCTAATAGTGCCTTAATCCCTCCGAGCTGCTCATACCAACTTCCAAACCAACTACTTGGGTTATACCCACTCCAGACCTGAGTAGGTACATGCGCAAGTTTAACCATGTGACTGGTAAGTTCAGCCACTGCCTGCCCTTCATCATCTATATGCAGACAACAGTTACTTAGATTAAACTTCCCACATACACCTCCCTCTACTGCTAATAAATAGTCCAGAGCTAATCTATTTTGATAGATGGCTGATCTCATTCGGGTATTATGTTTAGCTAGGAGATTGAGCGCTTGTGCTGTCTCATTGGTCTCAACCACCGCCTGTAGTCTTATAATACGATGAAGCATATATATTGTGGTTCTATATCCATAGGTACCATCTTCTGCCCAAGTAGCAGGTCCATAATAATTAATAATATGTTGGGGAGGCCACTCATCATCTTCCCAGCTTCCTATATTCAAAGATGCTCACTTCTTTTTATGATTCACATCATAAACCTTAACTCCCAAGGTCTCTCCTGTTTCAGTTGGCAACAAGAAGAAGGATGGTTTGAACATACCTAGTACACATGCCCCTTCCCAGTCTTGTGGTAACTCCGAATATTCCTTCTTACCACAAATCCAGTATAAATTTGCTGGGGCTCTCCAAGCAGGTTAACTCTCCAACAGATGTATTATACAGTGGCCCTCTTCTAGCTAAACATACATGGCCTATGATAGATGTTTTTAAATTCCATTCTGATTTACCTCTAGTACTTACTTGATGATCAGACTGAGAAAGAATCTGTTGTTCATCTGTCTCAGAACCAAGGTACCAAACCTTTCTTGTCTCCCATGGCCATTGGTCTTCCGTATTAGTACCTCCATATACAAAGCAGTTAGTTATATTAAGACTACCTGCAATACTCTCCGCCAAATCAATACATAAGTTCTTAACATTATGGGGAATTTTATCCTCAACACTCATCTCCTCTTAGAAGGAATGAAAAACCTGATGAGTTTGAGAAGCTGTCGTCTCAGTTTCAAGTCCTACATATATTATGGTCCCTGGATCTACTCCTGTACCATGTATTTGAAACCCAAAGAGATTCCCAAACTTGTCAATGAATTGCTGTGGATTGGAACTGGTCATTTGCACAGGGTTACACTCCATAGTTTTACTATACGGTGCAGTGGGCAACCTTTCGATAATCATATCTTGATCTACTGTCTTTACCCAGGTCGCCCAACCTACACATGACCAATAGGGGCAGAAGTTAAAGTCTCTATTTGGGCAGTCAGGATCAGTAGATCTTTTACTGGGACATAAATATTTATCATTAAACCCATAAGTTCGTTCCCATTTAAGATTACCACATACATTCCAAGGTTTTCCACTACCCGAGATCACCTTACATGCATCAAATAGTAGAATGCCCATAGAATGTTTGGTGCTTATCACAGTCTTATTTATTAAGGTCCCCTGGAGTTACTGTTCCAAATTACCAACCAAATTGTACGAGGTTGGAATTGGGGATCGAAACACTTGGGCTCACCTGATATCGGTTGACACACACTATAATCAGTATCTAAGTACCTACACCTAGACACAGATCCTTTACATTCAAATTATGAGTGTCAAATTAAGGTCTGGGATATCTGGTTACCTGTTTTTGTGGTCTTAATACAACTGACACAGCTTGGAATATCCTCACCTTTACCCTCCTGAAAAATCATAAAAATACTAAAGCACATAATTAAACACATTATTCTTGTGATCCTCATCTTAATTCTTCGACCGTGCGACGGCACCTCAGCTTCCCGCTTGTGAGGGCTGCAAGGATTGTAGTACTTCTGATCCTCACTTACCTTCACAGAGGTCGCTTCGAGATACTCTGACAATGAAACGTAGGCAGGTGGTCAGGCTTTATTATGGCTGTCAAAACACCTACTTGTTGATCTCTGCAACTTTCAACCACAATTCTTCAAAAATCACCTCATACTTCTCAAGTCACGCTCAATTCGACTGAGTCATGCGCTTCAACCGGATCTTGCAAGGATTCTCATGAT